GTACATTTAAAGTAAGGTGTGACCACACAGCTTTCAAACAGATTGAATGTACATGTGATCAAAGGGTGTTTGTATAATGGATAATAGAATGAGTACACAGTGTGGGCAGACAGCTGGGATACGGTTGCTTGATGGATAGATGCATAGATGACGGATCTGGGGACAAGCGGACTAAGATACCAGATGGTGGATAGATGGCTGTGATAATAATTCAAAGGAATACTCCAACATCCAGCTGGTTGCCTTGGCATTTCTGCCGAATAAAAATATATTGATGACAATGAAAACAAATTCAAAGTAGCTTTCTTTATGAATTTCTCAGTTTCTTCTGCGATTTCGCCAAATTTTTCATTTTCCGCGATTTTTCTGCTTTTCACGGAACCGCGAAAAGGTCGGGTCTCTAACTATAAGGCTATCAGCGGTTGAAGCAAATAGAGCACGTCATGTTTCTGTATCCGGATAAAGAATTAGGCTTGACTACATTGCGAAGCTGGAGCCCACTCTGTCGTAGAGACGAAATTCGAGCTGCGCAAGACACTGGGAATAACATCTTAGTGGAAAGGCAAGATGCGAGGAAACTTCAGATCCTCTTGCTACATGGTAACACCACTGAGTTGTAATACGTTTTCAAACCGACTGGGACCCACACCCCCAGAATGGGGGGCACTCCCAAGTAACATAAGTTAGGCAACCGGCTTCGTCCGATAATGTGTATGAACAGTTCATCTTGTCATAGTGTTGTGCAGTGGCTGGCGAAACTATTCACGCCGGTGCGTAAAAACCTGCTTACGGATTGCACTGAAACAATTTTCCTCCAATACGGATCTCATGCACACAATAGACGTTGGACCCCCTATTCACAAAGGTGCCTTGACGTGAGGCCGACGATTTTTCTGGCTTCATCCTTAGTCAGAGCATGTCTGTGGGAATACCAGTGGAGCAGTTGAGGCATGTTATTTTATTGTACTTCCAAAACACGTGGTTTGCGTTTGAGGTAATAGCATGTACACTGGTCATCGGAGTTCACCGCAAATCGACCTGAAGTTGAGAGTAACGTCATTTTTCCAGCTACGCCCCAGTCACATACAGAACTAGGTGAATCTGCATCGCGAAATATTAGGAGCTAAAGAAGAAATCCTATGGAAGGCATTAGTTTCTAACGGTTACCGTGAGAAGGTCATTCAGATTCACAGCAGACTTTCCAGGAAGAAAATATCAGTGCTAACGGGAGAGAAAGAGGATGTTTATTTATTTTTGCCGTTCAAGGAGGACCATGTTGCAAATGATATTGGACACAGGCTCCCGTCCGCTCTAACGCACATACACGACTGCCAATTTGTAACGCACGCATAGCACACGAAACCTTGTTCTTCATAATCACCGGTGCATCTCGTAGGGCAGCTCGGCCAATCACGTTGTTTACCGGTTCACCTGCAGTTGCGCTAACATATTCATAGGCAGAAGTCACTATTAGTTAGCTCAGAGGGTATCTGAACATTTGCCGAACTGGTTGGGGTAGATGTAGACTCAACAAAACCATATTGGGATATTTACTTGTCAGCACCTCCTGTTTTAAGCTTGTGTTCGCATTTTTAAAGGAACGTGTTCGGTTTAATAATGGGCAGTCATATGTCCGACGCTCTTATTGACAATTGCAGCCGTGTTAGATGAGATAGTTTGTGATGCTTCTCTCAGCGAACAACGTCAATTCATGCGTATACCGTCAGGAACCCAGTAGAGTGATGCTAAGCCATTAGCTACGGGTGCATTCTTTGGAGAAAACAGTTGCACCGATATAGGACTGCATGATTTGTTGGAGCTTGTTTGTTTGTCATGCTCCGAGATTGGGTTTGCTGCTTAAACAGATTCATGACGTTAACCATATGTTCGGATTATACACTTGGTACGGAGCAAGGCTTGGTGATAGGCATGTGGTCCCGATTCGTGCAATGATTGAAGCTGAAGTAAACTTTCTACTCACTATAGGTTAAACTTTTGCCGCAAATTCGTTGCAGTTCCTTGTAATTGAGTGACGTAGCTGTCCATTCTGTACTGGATAAACGCCTATCCGTCAAGTTGCGTTGCATCATGTTTTTTGGAGTAGATATTGCTCATTTGGAGTTACAAAATATACATACAGTAATCAAAAGTCATCGGAACTAAATGAGTGTGCTGTTCTTATACAAGAAAAATTGAAGATAACACAGATAAACCTGTGATTTCTTCAGAGCGCACGATAATACCCGATTGCTAAAGCGGAAGTACGGCATTTACATAGGGGACACCCCCCCCCCCGAGCCATTGGCTGAATAGCCTACCTGCAAGGCTGGGGGTCGAATTTAGGGAATCGCACCCATTAGTAGCCGACGACTGGTTGTTCAGTTCATACGGCTTTCTTTCTGTAGGTTACCAAACAAGGACCCAGTCCTCCCAATAATTTCAGTAGTAGTTCTCTGGAATACAATGTCTCGTATTGAAGCAATGGGCAGTGACTTTGTTTAGTGGCCAGTCGCATCCACCAGGCCGCAGTGTTGCTAAACTGACATATGCGACATTCGATAAGGAGAAGGCTTTCTAGGCAAAAACTCACCACGTCTTGGAACATTGCCGCTGAACGGTTTGCTGAAATGGGAAAAACCCAGACCACCCAGCTGGCACTACTTGAAGTCTGTTCGATAAAACAGCCTCGGACCCAGGTTCAAACTTCAGGTTGGCAAATGCCCCTTGGCTATCGCCATCTAATCCTAGCTATCGATGGGCTATCGCTGGGCACCATGCCGACAACCTTACGTGAAGGTTTAAGACACGCCAACACTTCCGGATGCTTACCTCTTCTTATATGCAAATATCTCTCGGGAGTCGAAACACGAGCACGGATTCAGATGACTAACTCTGTTAGCTGCATCTCTATGGGTTGACTAATGAGAACAACAAGATAGGCCAGCTCAGAGTCACTCTGGTTATAACAAAAGTCAGCGGCCGTACAGTTGCAGTGCCCTGAGTATCGATCTATTCGACATCGAGTAGAAAGCAGTTGATAGACCAGATTTGTGTTAAAAATGCTGGACGCACACACAGTACACGGATGATAAACCAGAAGATATAGAGAGAATTCTAGCTACCACAGACGGTATTAAATGGCTAAATATTTCGCTAACTATATAGAACTAGAAGCGTTTACTGGAACGGAGATAATGATCAGATGATCACCTTAGAGGCAAAATGTTTGCAAAAGTATTTAGTTGACAAATTACAGAGGGGAATAAAATGGGGGATTGCGATGTTTGGTTCGCTGAGTTATAGTAAGTCGGCCAGATTTGGTATATTCAGATCGAGTGAGTGTTAGCTCGGTACTGATTATCACGATGATAAATAGCAGCCTTAGAATGGCGTGTGAAGTGCATGAATGTCTCCCGCTCACAACAGAACGGCTCGGCCGTTTTTGTGCTCATTTGTACTTACCAAGTAGAGATAAGAGAATTAGGGCTCGAACCCGGGTACAGGAGGATGGTACCTGAAGCTTGTACCCCTAAGCCACCGATTCACTGCACGTGGGTGCATTCACACAAATACTGATGACTCCTAGACCTTTTGATTCAGCTAAGGAAGTGATTTAGATATAATTCTCTTCAAAATGAAGCCACTTCATTATCGACGTGTTCACTTGCTGGTTCAGTATCTCGTTTCATTGCGTTACCTCTGACAAGAGCTGTAATTTGAACATGTCACCATCAAGGATAGTTTTACTGCGAATACACCAGTTCCACACACCACTAGTCAAACGCAAATTTTCGCTTCACTTCACAAGGCTGATTATATTAAACACAGGTCAAATTCGAAGACAACTAGCAGGTCACGCAAACTTGAAATGGGGTATGGTAACATTCCAACTTTCTGAGAAAGGATGGATCTGCCCCGGGCTTCCACAGAGTTGTTAAGTATGGCTGACTAAGTAAACGCAAACGATAGGAATACCCTATCCTTATCCACTTCGTTTCTACCTATACCAACAAGTAGTTATCAAGCTAAAATCTCGCAACCTATTTTAATGCCGTGCAAATGCACGCAATTGCATTTCCAAGTGGATAACGGGAATATGAATGCTTTTCTGCAGTGGCAGACTTACTTATGGAACTGGTAGCAGCTAGTGAAGAGCATACTTTATGATTTTCATCTGGAACAAAGTGACTGACTATGCTCATAAACACCTTGCTAGGTATGGTAAATAAGTTGAATCTAACCACCTTTGTCCATCGACTACAATGAATGATTAACAGCGATGCAATAGTTGGAAGCTACTGTCAACGACAAAGAACTAATAGTCGTGTAATGGAGCGCGCACTCTGCGCAACTAGTAGCGGGCAGTATGCTGCGCGTATTTGAAGAAGCAGTTTCCCACCGGACTGAACATCAGTTTGATAGTTTTGAGGATCCGTTCGACCTTCCAGAAAGGGTGAAGTTTTACAGCTCCGAAGTTAAATTTTAATCTTTACGCTGGTTGTCACAATTGGAGGAGAATGCTAACTAGGATTGGCTTCAACATATGCGCTGCCATGTGCATTTCTTCCGGAAAAAATTAAAATAAGCGAAACTAATACTGCGTTGCGTTCAGAAATAGTAGACAGGCCTTAATGCGAACAAATTGGTACTTCACATCGAGACATCAGTTTAGGTTGAGAGAAAACTGGATCCATCATGCGAATTACTCGGCCAACATGCAATAAAACCCTATTACTTGAGCAACGCTTGCTATGTTAATTAAATTTCTTTCCTGCATGGGCCTACGTTATTTTCCCTCACTAACTTCGTGCTTTGAAGATTGATTTGCATGTAAAATAATGAAAAGTTCCGCAAAGGGTTTCGGGAACATTGTTTTCAGAAAAAATTGGCCCATCAAAGTATAACAGAGTCTGATGGACGAATGGAACGGCATGTAGCACGCAATCGCTAATTATTTTGGGAATTTTATTACGGCTAGATTGCGTATCTGTTTTTCATAGTGCCTCAAATGCCTCGAGGAAGGAACGTAATTGTGCGCGGACCATCCGAAATCCAAGTCACATGGCAGGGCCCAATAGAGCGCTTGTCCGACATACAGCACTACAAGTTGGCGTGGAATTGTCTTAGCTGTACTACGCTTCAAAACGGCGCTTCGCATTCGCAAACAGGAGGCCAGAGGAAGGTTCTGGCCAACTATGGATCCAATCCGGAACACCTGTACAGTGCCACTATTGATGATCTCAGTCCTGATACATCCTACGAGGTCAGCGTGACAGCAGCTAATCTGCGAGTTGTTGGCGAGCCGTACGTGTTCCCTGTAGTACGAACTCCGACTCAAAGTACGTCAAAACTCTACTTACTCAGCTGTGCGATTATCATCTTCGTGTTTATGCAAAATGAAAGTATTCCACTCAATATGGTATATTGTCAGAATGATCCATTAATGGCATACCTTTGCGCCTCTGAAGGGGCAAAAGCAGTCTCAAACGCTTGCCGATAATCCTGAGCTGTTTATTAGTGGTCGACCTTAGGTTACCACGCTGTGCCATTATATCTATTGATATTCATAAACCTTTATGCAATGCTTCATGCACAATGCAATGCTTTATGCACATGCCAGTATTATTCTAATTGGTGTAAATAGTAGAATAGCCGCATCGTCAAATTCATTTCACCACGCCGTATGGCAATACAAAACATTCAGATGTGGCTTACGGACTTCTACTCAGACTATGTTTTTATGATCCCATTTGGAAAGTGTTCACTGCGTAAGCTTAAACATCCAGTTCACCACCTGCAGACACAGTTATACTATAGGCAAAGTCGTCTATCTACTTGACAGTCTGAATGTTCGAAATTTGCATTTACAGCCAGCCAATGCGTTGCATAATCACGCGTTGAAAATGTTGTGTTTCGACACCTCCACAACGTTGCTGGTTTCAGAGTTTGACATGTCCCGGGGGAGTGAGGTGTCGCGGATGGACCCTATGACTCGGGGTGAACACGTAGGGTCCAAGCAACCGCAGCGAGACAGTGGCAAAAGCGCTGAACTGCATACTGTATTCGGACACTGCTACCTTCACCGTTACCTGCTGACCAAGTCATTTATACTCATGAGTACTAATTATTGCCCATCTATGCTTGTGTCACTGCCCCCGCCACGGTATACCAGTCAAGTATTGAGAATTGAACAGGAAGCTCATTGGTCCATTCGATGGCCCAATCAGGATTTGATTGAGATGTACGGATCTGGTGACACCACGCCCCAAGAGGCGTTGATATGACAGCGATCTAAAAAGTGCGCGTTGCGCCAAGAGAGGCGAGTGAACATTTTGGCAGATTTTAGCTCCCGTGCTTCATCCGGAATATGCACATCGTCTCAGGGTTGGAGTGCTACACACTGTTCACATAATCCCTAACTGAACTTCATTTCTATGGATTTCGTTTTATGGAGCAGTATCTGTTTCATCGCACTGCTACTAACGAACTCGACATGGCACGCAAAGACGAACATACACGCGCAAAAAGACCAGCCTAGCGTGCATGACTACAGCCTGCGCGATGAAAAGCGATGGACGGAGTGGAGAGAGAGGAATGATCCCCAAACCTCTTGGGCAGGATACTGGCAGACTATTTCACTCCCTAAAGGTAAATTTGGATGTGTGTGTTCGGCAAATGGGCAAACGTAAACTCAAATGTAAACAACCTGATCAAAGGAAAAACTCTTTTGGAGTCTTACTGCTAACCTAACCTTGTCACCGGGGAGTCGAACCCTCTTGTTGAAGCCAACCAAGCGATGACGTCCACTCACTAACCGAGCTTCACTACCACTCGATGACATCTAGAGAGATTTGTGCATAATAGTTGCTTGTTTGGTGGAGCCATAAGATGGGTCCTGTGAAATCCCTTGTGCAGCATCGAATACACATGTTTTAAAGTGATTGGTACAAATAACTTACTTGACTCAGGGGTGGTGGTAATGTTAGTACAGGTTCTATCTGGCAGGTAACTGGGGTGAAGCATCTGCTAGTCATAACTGGGCATCTTTCCACCCCCTCTTCCATTTGGGTCAATTAGACTTTGACCGCTATGGCGCTATATGCACACTCTGCCTAAACCGTTTATCAAACTAATTTGTCTCTGAGAGCAAAATTATGAATGAATTTACTCTTATATACTTGCAACGGCAGTAGTGTAGCCCAAACAATAGCAAAATGTGAAAAACGAATGATTATGCATCTTTCAAGTGGGGCACAGGATACAGCGATTCAAACAAAATAACAAGTATAATAAAAAACGAATACAAAGCGGGCGAGAGTCCTGTATCTGTTCACGCGTTCGAATTCTACTTATCTGGCTTTGTGGACTCGAGATAGCGGACACTACCAATTCTGACGAATTGTGTCTTCCGGCAAGTGCTATTTGTAGTCACGAAATAGGAATAGAATTATTTGGGTTTGCCGACAAAACGCTTTAGAAATGGTGGTGATTCGAGGGATGTCAGAAGAGCCACTTCACAAGCTACATAATACTTTCCTTTTATATGTTATATTTATCTCGTGCCTATATCACATAACAGCTACATCATCCATTGGATTGCTGATGTTTTGATACCTAAAATTGGATATCGACCGTTGGATGTATGGATATTAAACAAACCTCCTCTAGTGATCGTTTCCGCGTACAGAACCTACTGTTCGTCTCATGTACTAATTGATTAATGCATTTATTATGTGACAAGCCACCAGCACTACTGTGCATAATGTCCTACTATGTGGTTGAGTACTTGGCTCAGTTGGAACTGCAGCCAACTACCTTATAGCTAACCTACGGGCCTCTTGACACCTGAACTGAGCACTCTGTAAGGAAAACCTCGAACGTACTCCGAAGTATCTCAACTGTAAACAGATGGTAGGTTAATTAGTAAAACAGGTTTGTTGTAGTATACTTCATCATTAACACTTTTGACTGCGCCACTACATGGACAAAAACCATTTTGCTGCTGAACAGTCATCCACGTCTATTAAGTCCTTCCTAGTGCTGAATTATTTGTGCTCATTGATTTGGATTTGAATAACATAAGCAGTTCTCAGGATCCTATCTTCCTTAGTATAATTTACATCTACCAGATTGTTGTTGGTGAAGTCCCTCGCAGCACCCAACTGACCACGGCGACTTCCGCCGCGCTAGTAATGCTATACATTCAAAGCACTCTGAGGCTACACTGACAGCTTTGTTTGTTTAACATAGAAGGTTCCAGTTGAGATCCAACATTATGACTCAAGTCGGATTGTAGGGACCATTTTCATACAAAAATTCATGGAATGTTGCAAAGTCTGTTATGGAGGTGGTAATTCTTACCCCACTTACGCGGTACGCTTTTAACGATAAACTTACTTTCTTATTTTAGTTCTTTTCATGTTTTCCGAAAACCAGTTGGTTTAATTTTAGCAGCCAGATCACATTGTTAGACAAGGGGAAACTATAAATTTTCATGAGTCACGGCCAATTCATTTTTCTAGCTTAGTAACCGAAAATATGTAGCTACTATGCTGTCCAGCCAAGAAACAACGCTGTCACAGAGTACCATTAAAGGGAAATGTAGTTAATGTTAAATTGTGCCCTTAAAAACAAAGGGGTTAAGTACGGATTAATTTTATACTGACTCGTACAGAACAACGAAAGTCTTTTTTAAAATAACGTGTTTTTTCCAAACGTAAATTAATAGTAGAGCTTATGAGCATAGGCGTCACGACATACTTCTTGATGCGAAGAAAAATGAAGTTTGATATTCCGACCAGTAGTCTTAATTAGTATGGCTGTTAATGATTCCAAATCTTTATTGAAAACTTTACCTCTTATAGCGCCTATGAAACCGAAAAACTTGCATTTGGTCGGCATTCACAAGCGGCCAATACCTCAGCCTGCTTCTTCGGAGCGATTGGGGCCTCACAAAAAGACTGAGCTCTCTTATCTGTCGGTTGAGCTTGCATGGGATCCTCCAGAAGGATTAAGAACAAGTCAACAGATCACTTACCAAGTAGCTGCTCGACTTGTTGGTCCGTCAGACCACATTGCAGAACTTTCCGAGCAGTCAGGCTTCGGTGCTGGTGATATAACTGGGAGCAATAATTTTGGAGAATTCAGTGGTTTTGAGGATACATTTTTGAATGAGAAGGCTCTGCACCATCCGCTTTTGCAAAGAAGGCTGCTGGCAAACGTGACAGGCAATACCTTTCGCTCCTCTGAAAATGACGACATCGGTAAGTATACGACTTGCTTCAGTAAAATTTGGAAGCTAGCCAGAACCAAAGCCAATCGCTACGCGAGCAAACTTTTAATAACAAATTTTGGTTCTTTGCGCACACAATTTACGATAAATTTAGCTCAAGTGACGAATGTGAACTATTTTAAAGTTATATTCAACATTTCCGTCTTTATGGCACACTGAAATGTAGTGATAGCTGATGATTAATAAGTATTTCAAGGCAAGAATATCAGTCATCGCTTCGGTACTTCTTCATATTGCCTTTCACACATCTTGTGTAGTCGTAGATCGTAAAGTGGGAGCATTCGACTTGTCGTGTTATGGATCTAATAGCCTCCATCGAATATTTTACTGGCCCGATAGCAGTGCATCTGTGGCTATGATAACTGAAAACTGGTCCAATGTGTTTAACAACTGTGGGGGAACCCGACACACAAGTATTGTGTGTTGCCGGCTCGTCGCACTGCATTCCGCAATAGGTCTCTCACTTGTTCCCATTCTTCAAGGAGTGTCACGAGCGATCCCAGCGGTCGTGTTGCTAGAAACTCACTTCAAAGTTGCTCGTCGTCCAGATCGGGATCCATTCATACAAGAGATATTTCAAAGGAACTCATAATAAGCCGGATAAACAAACACTCTAAGAGCTGCTGTTGAAATCGGATGCCGTCTGGTCGTCTACTCTGTAACGAAAAGCAAGTGATAACTATGGGATACATTGTGCGTAGGTCGAAAAGTTGTATATATAAAAACAAAGCCACTGTTTTGCTTTGGCGCACCCGCCTTATGTTTGAGTTGCGACCCGAAGTAGATCTCAGTCGTTCTGAGCACTAGGACCTGATCCTAAATGATGGGTATCAAGTGTTGCGCCACCTCAACAGTTCACTCCGCTACCGGTCTCGTACTTTTCTCGATTCTTCATGTAGATGTAGCTGGAGTCGCTAGCGGAACTCGTCGGAACTTTAGATATAAACGTTCATGGTAAACATACTGGGATATTCTAATGACCGAAAATATTCTTATCATGCGTTTTCGTGATTAATGTCACCGGCCTGATCCTCAAATGGCAGTTGTTTCCCCTCCAAATTCGCTCTCTCTTACCCCTAGTGCCCGCATATAACGCAGCAATAAGTTTGGGAGCAGCGTGCAACGGGACGGAAAGAAAGATGCTCACTAAAGCGCAGTTAAGGCTCTACCTGTTGGTAGGTTAATTTAATCAAAAAATCGGAAACGATGAATCAAAGAAAGAGTTGCTTTTGAATTTCTGTTCGCAGCGATGACGAGCGGTGAATGCAACAGAAAATAATAAGCCATAAGATTAAATGGAGTTTGGTTAAACACACCTTATCAACTTTCCTGTGGGCATGAGACGTGCAGATTAGACTTAGAATTCTAACATGTTTTACGAGATTTCAGGTGTATGGCAAATCGTCTTGTCAAGTAAAAGCAAGGCCTGAAGGTGGAGTCGTGGCGAAAGTGAAGGCCGGGATTGGATTCAGTTACGTAATTTACGGGTGGGCAGGTGGTTCAGCTAGGCACACGTAGAGTCTTTGATCCGGTAAACAGAAATGAGCAAAACGAAATCAGCCGAAGGCATTGCAACGACTTTCAAATATATTACTGTGCACATCTCATCACAGGCTCATTTTGCCTCATGGGGCTAGAAGCGTAGGAAAGTGCGTGACGTGGCAAACAAGGTATGTCTTTAAATTCAGTGAATTCTATCCTACCTACTTTGTGGCCTCCAGTCCTTTATCATACAAAGCGGTTTTGCCTGCATTTATATAAAGTATATCCATTACTCCATTATATGTCAATTATTTGTTCACAACTATGCAGAAAACCCTCTCCGAATCGAACGTTCTCAACTTCAGGGTAAGGTTATTTCATGAAGCTATTCGACGACTTATATGCTTTTCCATCAACAGGTTCACCCTTTCTCCATAGGCAGTGCGTTCAGTCTATTACTTATATCTTACTAGAATGTCGAAGGTCTACTTAGGTATCTTAACTAAGGCACCTATGCTTCGCAACGACGCAAACACCAACAGTCATGCGAGAGCTAAATATGGCCCGGGATCATCCGAACAAATTCGGATGCGAATAGCTTACTTCTGCATGCTAATGCACACACGTAATTGTATCAATGTCTAGCCGACAGAGACTTATTTACAATTCGTGTCGAACTTAATCACAGGTTATTTTAGCCTCTGACCATATGCGTCCTATTTTTCTTTTACAACAACGGTTACGTTCATGAAGTGGTAGATATTTTCGCATGAGGAACTTTATGAAGAATTGTTATCCGTACGTTATCAAGCCTTTCAGTTTTCTCAAGTTAGCTATGATAACAAACAACAATACGGTAGATACTAGTCTGTTACTAGAAACATTTTGCTTCAGTTAACTTGATGACATCTTTCATCAGTCCTCTTAGCTTACGGGTCGTTGCAACGGCGTACTGTACCTGTTCAGTGAACTTGGAGGAATTGGAGTTACACAGCTAAGTTCCACTAATTTTCAGGTAGTTGCCTTGATATCTAGCACAAATAAACTATGTTACATTTCTCGGGTGAGAATCTAAATACCGGATCGCTGCACCAAGATTCATGCTATTGTGGATCCACCTGGATACTGACGATAGCGTTGCTGTTTTTGTCCGCATCAAAACTGCAGACAAATTTGATGGAATCTCATGCATGATACACCATGTTTTATGAGAATCTTCAAAATGTTGTATGGACTCACGGCTACTGGTAGGCAAGTCCTGACATGGAAAGTAGACATTAATGAACATAGAAAACTAAATGAGACTTGGAACGCCCCTTGGGTGACACTACTTTATGGATTACCCATTTGTGGAAGCATTTGTGCTGCTTGATATCGATCAGCAAGGTATGACGAGATCTAAGCATTTAATTGACCTGCTATATCAAAAGCATTTGCTTTTAATAAGAGTTTGCAAAGGAACCTACACTCGAAACCTTTGCGCAGGTCACGGAATACGATGCTGCGGCGTTTTGAACAGCCAATGGAGTGCTAACAAATTTTAGCAACAGTATGTGACGGGTTATGGGTGGTCGTGCCGTCAGAAATCCATTCTGAGAAGGGTTGATCAAATTAGGAGACGATAGGGATTCAACGGATTTGTCTTTCGTTGCTCTTTTCATTGTCCTGCACAGAAGAGAGCTATTACTGGTGGGGTGATAGTTCGCATGCATGTGACGAGGTCAACTCTTGTAGTTCGGCGTTAACAAGGATTACTACAACGTATCTGGAACAGCTCCAACCTTCCTGAATAAAACGGCAATATTTTTGGGAATAATATGAATAAAACCACGTAGATTTTTCTAGCATGCGCTAGACTGTTCCCGTAACAGGGATACACCATTAAATACGGTTATAGCCGCTAACTTTTATGAATATGAGGATTCACTATTGCATGTGTTTCAAAAGCTTCCTGAAATACACGATTTTGGTTGGTTCAAGATTTTGTGCAGCAATTCTTCTCATTATCGATATATTTTTGTGTGGTATAAGACCGTCCTAAATTACACAAAGCATACGGTACTACATCTGCATCAGGATAAAAAGCGAACTAATTGAAATGATCAGAATCCTTGTCAGGTTGTTCAAATTCAACTGAATTGTTGATAAATAGTTTTAACCGAGGTGTCTGCAATCAGTACTGTTCGGGGCGTTTGAATGTTAGTGAAAATCGTTCATCTAAGAGTTGACTCATTTGGGTTGGGTCTGCAGATGAACTCTTGCCAAATGGTGGGAGGTAGAGCCTGTTTAAAAATTTTGATCATTTATTTCGGTTTATTTTAGCAGGCTACAGTATTGGTCTCACCTCTGAGAAGCTTGGAGTACCGCTTTGTCTTTCAACATGAAATTATTTGATTTTGTTGTATTATCCGGACCATATTATTAGTTTTTCCAAACCCATTTGGTAACAGCTTTAGCTTTCAGGGTATGCGTGACGGGTTGATACTCTGACTCATACTGAAGGAACTACGCTTATGAAGTGTTATGGGGAAGATATCTGGACAAAAGCTTAATTTTTAACGAGAACTCAGCCAGATCTCGCGGTTTTGGGGAAAGTAAATAGTTATCTTAATTGGATGGTCACATTTTGTTTGCAAGGCATTTCCGGTTCACGACAACATTTTAATTCACCGACCGCATTCAAACATATTGTAAGAGAACGCATATAGTACAATGCACAACTCCGAAAGTCACCCTTAGGTGATTTTGTCCACTGAAGGAAGTTTCCTGATGGGCATATTAGGTGTTTGTATTTAAATCATATCATTGTGGCTCACATGATATCACCTACTCTGTGTGCTACGTTATGATGCACACAGTTTATCTGGATTGTAACAAACAGTCTGTGTTTTGATTGTGACCTTTCTTACAAATCTCGGTTATTTGCATAAACGTGAATGTGTCTGAAGTGAAGAGTTTCCCACGTTTTTCTTTCACAAAGTCGCACTGCACTACATGTTTATCATTATTTGGTCTCTGTAGGCAGAGACATTCGATAGTGAGATGGAACCAGTGTCATAGTGGTTACGTTCAGTGCTGTGGCCACTAGGCTACAGAGTTTCTCGAGCAACATTCGACTTACCAGATATTATGGGGTAGTTATGCAAGATTCCCGGACCAACTTTGACTCTATGAATATCAGGCAAACGTTTTACTTGCACAACATGTATCTGTCTATTGGATGGGTTGAATCTCGCTCTCTGTCTATGACTTCTAGTTGTTGTTGTCCCAATTCTGTGCATCCCACAGTACTACACACGTTACTCAGTCTCATTTGGTGTATCCTCACTTCATTAACGTCAAGCAATCTGAATGTTTTCACAAAACCAATGCGAGCTTCGGTGAAGCTCGCAGGTACTGCAAAGTACAAACCGATGCTTGCCAGTTTTTTTTATAATTGACGGGTATGCGTTTTAAAGGGCCAAGGTTTTTCTCTACTTTGTCCTCTTCGTCACCCCAGGCAATATTCTGTGCCCAAAGCTCTGCAGAGATTGACTGGCTCTTACTCTCAACCTCATAGCAGCAGCTAGTCGGCACAAACACCCTGTTACCTCACTCTCTCCTCATTATGAACAGCATGAACATCCGAATTCCCCTATCACGGCTATGAGCGCTTGCTTGTTCAAAGGACTACCAACCAAAACTTTAAATGTGATTTAGTAACATTAACTTATCGTGATACTTATGTGGGGAAGGCGTGATAATCCTCCGGCAGGACTTTCAGATAATTGTGAAAATACAGTTTGGAAACACCTGATATCTGAGTATCACCTCAAAGAATAAGTCTGACCTTCATATTTTGCATCATCGAATGCCGAGGGAAATGGGGCCAGCCCATTTGCAGAAGTTGTGTTGCATCGTTCCAGCAGTGTTCCTCTGAATTACGCTGAACTTAATTGGGCACTGTGAATGCTTTTCAATTGAAAATATCCCAAGTACTTATGCCGTATATGTTGAAACTCATAAACTCAGCAATTCCTTGTTTTATCCCCGTTCTACAGGTTGCTAAAGATCAGAATCCACTAGGCTTGCGATTTCTTTAACTTACTTTTCATAACCTATTTTATGTATCCTGAGAACTATAAATTAACCATCGCATCTCGAATCAAAATTGCCCAGGGTACGGTAATTTTTGGGGTGTGAGAAAGAGGAAAGTTGTCCGAGTTTTTTGATCTCCAGCCTTCAAAAGAGTCAACGATTACGATCAGTCAATATCTTTCATTCGTTCGGTTAGTCCCACACTGTCACAAATTCACGCGATCATCACATCTAACAGGCAGCCGCCTGAAGTTAGACCGCTCCGAGTGCGTGGACACTGTACAGCAGGCGTGTGAATCGTTCACTTCCCGCTTCCCATCCGATGAGCTGAGCTAAACGGGCTGCGAAGAGGGGAGAGAAGATACAAAACACCAGACAGAAAGATGACAAACGACGCTGTGGCTACGCTTCGATGAATCATTGCAACTGCAAAAGGACGTAATCCGTGAAGGTTATCACACAAAATGGGTTAACCAGTAACTTCGAAACCAATCGTCTTAAAGCAACACTAAATTACGCTACGGATTGATTTGTGAAAACTGCTTTCTGTTTAGATACTTCAGATGAGTAAGTATCCTACTATGCTCTGTATCAAAAAGTTGTTGTAGATAGCGGTAACAAGTAACTCGTATTTATCGATGGTGGGCTTGGTGTGCCAAGTGCTTCGGTTTATCTCAGTAAATTCGACGGTAGCATGTATTGGTTGATCCAACTTTGAACGCAGATTATTAAGCAAATTGGATGACTTTTTGAATTCCCTCTGGATAACTGCCATAATCTTCATATAAACGGTCCTTGCCATATCAAGTGCTCTTGTTTTTCTGAGTGTACACTCTTTACAGCGTTCAGGAAGTTGCTGTGTTTTCAGAGAGATTTGTGGACAATCGGTTAGTTTATTTAATTGGCAACCTTTCCTTTTTGACACAAAATTTTCGTCAGGCCAGAGGAATTTGTACGTGGTGTGGCATTATATAGCGGGTGAGGATAATCGTGACAACAGATATGAATCAATAAACTCTTACAGACACAGATAGAAAAGCCAACATAAGTAGTCAATCAGAATGTCTGTTATCGGGATTTGACTGTCCGTCATTTTGAAAATTAACGCCTCGTTGACAATGATTACCGTGTTTGCCACCGGAGTCCATACCTAGTGGGTGGACTAAATTAACTAGCCTGAGTTCCATCGAATTAAACAGCAAACATTTTGTTATCACCGACCACTTCGTTTCAGCTGGAATGTACTCCGATTATAAACAAGGTACTGAGCATGGTCTATTTAAAATATTTTCTGATTTGTTCCACTACCTACAGGATACGGAGCTACATACTTATTCGAAGTTTCCCTCCTGAATGACTCTGCGACCGGGCCGCCGACGATGCTGAACGTAACCACACCGGATGCACGTAGGTTCCATTTCTAAGGCCAAGCACTAATTTCATTAAATGTTTTCACACCGTATTTCTCCATGTTCGCAAACAGTCCACACACATGGTTACTACACCGCAGTGAAAATCCGAACACAAGGGTCCATTGTCAATTTGGAACAAAGTCAGTGCTCCAATTCTCAACCAAACTTCCCTGCGGCAGCCTGCACACTCGTGATTTAGTTCAGCTTTAAATGTCACCAATAGCGTCGGTATCACGTTTAATCACTTGTGGTTAGTCATATGTGTGTACAAAGTGGCTCTGAAGTGGAGCTCAGACAAGGTCATAAAAGCCAACGTCACTTCACAGACATTGAACTTCGGGCTTGTCAACAGGAATGCAAAGTCGACAGAGCTCATCTTCAGAAGCAAGCGAAAGGAGGTTCTAGTGCCCACACCATTCAAACCAACACAACTGATACACAGGTGTTACGTAGGTACCCTACTGTAAAATTGAATCTCATTGAATTTTGAGTAAGCGTTAAAACACAGCTTCAGCTCAGCAACTAGGCTATCCACATGTTTTGCTTATCGCACACTTAAAACCAATTTTTCATGACTTAACAAGCGGAAAATAAACTGCACTTCTTGATCCTCACACCAAATGGGTTCACGGCGTGATATCACTATCGCCATGAGGGGCAGAGTTTAAAATGAAGACGTCCGTTTAACCCTCCTGTATGGTTGTTAAACCGGGCCATCAGATTGACAGACATAAATGGCCTAAGTTACTTTCGACCATCGCAGCTAAGTTCAAATCTGGTAGGAACACCGCGTGAGCAATTAGCGCGTTTGGCGTCGTGAATTTGGTGCAGTAAGAGTGAGTAAATGGCTCAGCAAAAGTGTATCGTACACCAGGCTTCGATGGTTGAGCCACATGTCGTGCATGACGGCACCCCGATTCCCGCATTGTGCGTTGTTTGCTCACCCTGGATTTGGATGAACAAAAGGAGGGAGGCCAAGCGATGGTGAAGAGGACTGAAAACCATCACCTCAAACTTGCCGTCAGTTGGTCTTCCGGCTGCCAGACTGGGGTCCGAAATACGTCGAACATATTTGGTTGGATACACCTGTAGACAAGGAGAACAGCCGACTGCTGTGGTATTTGTGTTGTGAATTTCTTTGTCTCCCCACCTGCTTCACTTTCCCCTTCAACCACAACCTCACAAGCAGTGCATAAAATGATACTTAGTTTTTCATTACTGTTTTTCTTTCTAGGTTCTCTAATGTTTAGTGTCTCATATTCTTGAATTGTGACATGATAGCTTAAGTGTGCTTCAAACCCTTAGGTAGCTTGTATTTATGTTACTGAGGAGTATAATTATTACTATTTTTGGTATATTGTCAGCTAGTTGAGGCACTGCCCAGCTAAGCCGATCCCATCATAGGTACAAAGGAAATGCAGAATGGTTTCACTAAATTGGGGTTCCAATTCCATTGATACTTGCGCCCTTGATTTAGTTTCAAAATTCATCGGAATCCACGACAACAGAAAAACTTTCAGATACCCTTAGGTGGATGGTTGGGAAAAGAAAGCAAAATAACAAAGTTTCAAGTGGTGAGTCACAATATGTACATGGAAAATGTAATTTAAGGATGCATAACATTGGCATACCACAATAATTGATAAACGGTGAACGTGTGTGAGCAGACACGATAAGACGACAGAGGATAAAACTGAGAATTTCATCCGTCATGACACAAATCAATTGGAACTAACGACGTACCACGCACAAGAGATAAAATGTGATAGCACAGGGCAAGTGGAATTGCTTACCTACATTTGGTGAGTGAGTTGCGTCCATCAACAATTCACCTTTTCAGTGGGTCCATGTCTTGCAGGCACTCATGCCTTTCACCTAGCTGTGTAATAGAAAGGAAGCACTATATGAATGCTAAGGAAAAAGCTTGCTTACCCAACACACCAATGTTCGCATGTTCTCAAATGTCATTAGTGGGCCTTCAAGCTAAGTGATACCACAGTGAGAAGCGGTTTAGATGAAGAAAAAATCAAAGATATATCCCATCTATCCAACTCATCGATGTGCCCATAAGTCACAGGCCACCAACAGACCATCAACCAGAGTAACCCAAAGAATATAACAGTAAAAACTAAGCGAAAATCAGAGATAGATCTCACTTATCCAACCCATTGATGTACCAGTTTTCATAGGCCACCGGTGGGTCATCAGTTTGAGTAATATCTCAGGATGTGAAGAAATAGGAGGAAGGAATGCGAGACAAATCTATGTTATCTATCAAGAGAAATTCAGGATAAGGGAACATTGCATCTGTACTTTTATACTGCGAATTCCGCAAATACTTAGATGTCATCAGGCCCGTTCTCGTACACACTTCGTCTGTTCAACTGACACGAAACAGTTCTTTACTTTTATTATCAGTTTAATACTCTATTATTTACATCGTAAATGTTCGAAGCGAAGATGTACCTCTGATTGTCTGAAGCAATCTATTCCATAACGAGGATATTTGTGTGTAAAGCCGTTCTACCGCAGACGTGTGTGGCAACGAGGTAACTTTATCATGTAGTCTTTGTTTCTTAGGTCATACGGCGAAAATCCTTGGAACACTGACTGACAGTAACTAGCGTATGTTAGGCGATCAACAATTTTGAATAATAGACATAAATTCAGGTTTAATATATGAAGCCATAGCGGTTCGATTTTTAACCACTGAAATCCATCTTTATAAGTGGGAAGAGCGGTGCAGCCCACGATTCTTTAGGTAAGCGACCTTTGTATAGCCTCGATTCCACTCGTGTCACATCTTCTATTGCTACTAAAAGTGGTGGAATGTTATTCTAATAATAGTCTGGCGTACGGTTTGAATGATGGGAGCTTAACATCGCTTGTTATAAAAAGGCCTATCATTCCAATAGCCACCGTATACTCAAGTGGTGCTTTGCAGTTCAACAAATCTGAATAACAGAGACCTCAGTCACATATTGATTCGAATAAAGGGAGTGGGATTCTATGAAAAAACAAAAATTCAGGTGGAATCAAGTATTCACATCACATAATGCTGCATTTAGACGTTGAACGTTTCATGGAAGATCCGACACAACCGTGTTCCTGGAAAACTAGGTCAGTTTGGATCGCAAATCTAAAAGACGGAGATTGAGAATCAGTGTCATACAAAATTTGTATATCACTTGAGAACAAATAAGGTCTACCATACAGGGAGAAGATAATTTACACGTATGAAAACAGAAGAGGGCTGAATACACTACCTTGTAACACGCCACTGATAATATCCCTTGTTTCCATCAGATACTCGTCTATTTTGACTCTCTGCTTACAACCAGTGAGGTAGGCTTCTAACCAGGATAGTAGTGAGTCTGCGATTCCACGAAGGCGAATTTTATGTATAAGGGTTCTGTGTGAATCTCTGTCGAAGGCCTTTTGAAGGTCCAACTGAAGTAGGATACAGTCCTTACAGAGTCCTTCGGCTTCGTTAAGTGATCAAAGAAATCTAGCTGACAAGTGACACTTGAGCGCTTTTGAAGAAATCCGTACTGCAAATATGACAAAAGGTTATTTGATGTTAGGAATTTAACGGTTTCCTTTTTAACTAGGAGTTTCATAATTCTGGAAATTATAGCAGTGTGGTTTATGGGCCGATAGTTGTTAACGATATGTCTATGCCCGGTTTAATGGTATGGTGTCACTATCGCCAGTTTCCACTAATCAGGATAAAACCCAGTTGTAATTGATGTAGTAAATAAGCTCAGTAGTAAGCAGGGGAAATCATTTCCACCGGACTTTAAAAGTACTGGAGGGATTCTATTTGGACTTGCATGAAAGATAGTCTTTGAACCGCAAATCTGACGCTTGATTAAACAAGTGTCGAACTCTACGTTATGGAAACATGGCCCACAGTACTCTGTGGGGTGATGCCAAAGTATATAATTCTCATTAGTAAAGGAGTCAGCAAAATAACGGTTAAAAGATTCATCTGCTGCTGCAGGAGTATTGATAAGGACACCCTCAGGAGTAATAAGATGTAGCCGTAGGTTTGTTTTGCGTGTTCCGCTATTTTAGTAACCGTGTTATCGCAAACACTGGATTAGCACTTCCCATTATTTCTTTTCTTTCTTGAGACGAAGAATCCTCAGGTTTTAATTTTTTCGTCAACGTTCTGTGAAGCCTAAATAGTACTGTAAAGTCATTAGTTTGTTGAAACTTTGGTATAGCTCTAATCTTACGTTCGTGCTGTTTCTCCTGTGGCTGTGACGTATTTCGACTGCGAGCTAGAGCAGGCGACAGTATTTCGATGCATCGATTTATGTTCTCATAAAATGCTTGAAGTGACACCTTTTATTAGATGACGAGAATAAACCAGTCCAGTCAGAAGTAGGCACAAGGGTAACAAATTCTCTCCAATTTATTCTAAGACAAGTTCACACGTGCCTAAACGGGACTTTAAGAGTATATGCAATGTTTATTTTGCAACTGACAATATTATGGTCACTACCGTGCAGTGCGTCGATAAGAGCACCTATTGGCCCAGCAGTGAATATGAGGTCGAGTGTATTATGCAACCGAGTGGGAGAAGTTACATACTGTGTCCAGCCTCCCTCAAGCAGGCAAATCAAGATTTGAGTTTGTTTTCCTGTACCATTGCACTCGATCCATTGAATGTTTGGTAAGTTGAAATCTCTTCCAACTACTTTAAATCGAATAGGAAATGCAGAGGCATGCCACATCACATCCGGAAGCAATCGTTTTCAAGGGCACTAGAGGACGGCGGTAAATAAACACAACCGAGCAGCATTTTATTAATACCCAAGGATACCGTTCTCTAAATGGGCTCATCAAGGGATGAGAATTGCTCGTCACTGTATTGTGAGGCACTTGTTGCTCATACAGGAAATGATACAACCACCTCCCCTACCATAATATCGGTCCTTTCGAAAGAAATAATAACCTTGGATATCAATAACATGGTCCACAGTGTCACTCGTGCACCACGATTCGGTAATACGATGAAAGGCAACGAAACAGCGGGGCAAGTGCATTTTATGTACCAGAGAACAGGCATTGATAAGTACTAGGTTGAATGTATCATCATAAAAGGTATAGTCCATGCGTTTACATAATATATGATTTAAGCGACCCACTATTCCTCTAGGACTGTCATGTGTTCAGTGGCTAGCGATGGTGGAAGATGGGGCATGGGGTCTAAGAAAAAACCTGTAACTGGCTGCGATCGAGGTGAGAAAACGTATCGTTAACTTCAGAATATGGGTAAATTGGTATTGCCTTGATGGAGCTAATGGATTGTTATAGAGTTTTCACCCACCTAGTTTAATCCGTGCACAATGAGACATCTCTCGAAGTAAGGTGGTGAATCCCACATTCCTAACGATCCGCAGGGAGACATGAGGTTTACTATAATTAAAGCTGGCACAGTAGTATTGACTGATGTCACCTCGAAATGAGCGCTCACCAGGGGTTTGCAGTAATTGACATGTGTTGGTTGGGTCATGGTCTGTAGTTGGAGTGAGCTTAGGCTGTTCTCCCATAGCGGGCACACGGTCTGTGGTGTGCCTAAAGCAATTATGTTAGAACGTTGAGTTTGGTGACACATTTTCTGCTCCAGAATACTCAGGGGCTGGCAGAGAGAAGGTATTCGTGTTTACAATGTTTGTGGGTGCAGCAGCTGGGGGTTGTAGATGAACAGGGTGATAGAATCGAGATCTGCTAATACTTGTGGGGTATTGGCTAAAGTGCTGCCCCAAGTTTCCCAGATGTGGGGAAACGTTTTACTTATACTCGGAGGTTGATTTCTGATGTTAGAGGAACTACTTTTGCAGCTGGTGTATTGAGTGCTTGTCGTAGAATATTTCAATCGCATGGGATTACTGGTCTGGCTTCTAACGATCACATGACTCCTCTGGTACAATGTAACGTTATCGTTAAGTGACACCGTAGCTTTGTTTTGGTTTCCACTTGCTGTCAGTTTACATTGTTATTCGGACGCGATTTCGTGTTTAGAGGTCCTAAGTTCATGTGCATTGTCACCTTGCTGGTAATCAGCGAGAGGCACGTTAGCTTCCGTTTGAATACTGGAAGGTACTTCGCTGCTTCCTGCGACGGTTGAGCCATTGTCTTCTATTACAGTGCCCAGATTATTTGTGTTTGTCTGAAGATAACTATGGCCATAGATTTGCAAGACTTCTCCAAATCTAAATTCGAGGTCGAAGTCATGGAGCAATCTGAACTTTGAACTTTAGAACCACACTCGCACGGAGACAAATCTGAATTCACAGTAGGTTGGTCTTTGACTTCTATATCAGCTTGGTGAGTAACAATATTACTGGGCATAGCTTTATCATCGGGTTGTACCTGCTTTACCCTAATTTCCTTCTGAAGGAGCGCTTGACCAATTTTGATCATGATACACTTGAAATCAGTGTTGTTAGCAATTAAACTCATTCTCTTATGAAATAGTTGGGCATGGGTTTCTTCTGTAAACTTTATTAGGATTGTACATGCGTACTTATGGTTTGCTTTTCTTAGACCTATTACGTGATAGTTCCACTCATGCTACTCACATTGAGCAAAACGAGCTTCACAGTTTCCAGGTATACTTTGTCTGGTATGTTAAATGTGACAACATCTCTAGCCCGATTTATCCTTTCACGGATTTCCGTGGTGAGTGACGAAAAGATCGATGCTGCTGCTTTCAAGTGATTTGCATTCGCTTTATCAAGCCCATCCACTAAGCAGGACATTTATGTCAGTTTATCCGGTACCTTACTGACCTCTGAGCTTTTCGTTTAATACGGTTACCTCATTTTCTAGATTGTGGATTTTTGGGGTAATTTCAAATGTCATGATTGGAGCAGTGTTCTTCGTTTTATCAGCTCGCTTTAACCACTTCATGCTATCTTCCATATCATCGCCTACAACCAAATTTGCATCTTGATCGGGAGAATCTGCATATTTTTGAACACCAAGCTTAGCAGTAATTGGCTTACGGCTAGCTACCTGACGCTTGTTGTCAGTTGTTTTCGGAGGAAGCGATGGTTTTCTCGCCATCATAAAGAAAGAAATCGGATGACAAAGATAACCTTGAAGATCAGCTATAAAAACTTAGAAAGGTATAAGAAAAAAACTCCTGATTTACAGGATATGGATGGAACCAAATGGGGCGCTACTCTGACGAAGAATTAATACGAGAGATAAAATTCAACTGATGGAATCCTGTTTGGTACTACGAAATGGTAGCACCAACGCCGAAACTCACCGGTTTCAATTTTATACCGTCCTATTTCGTCGCTTATTTTGGTTGGTTAGTTGCCTTTGCGCCAAGTCCGGTGTCAGTCGTTGGCGGAATGGGGGGTGACGAGAGTGAAGCGCGACTCGATGGGGTCAGGGTAACGGGTTCAGACACGATGATCGGTCAGTAGCCAGTCCTGCAACTGCATGGACAGATGTGGGTCAGGTGGTGTTGTTAACACGTGTACGGCCCTGCCACAAAGTCCAGTGTGGGCGACGAGATGAGGCATGAGTGGACACAGGGGCCGTGCACTTATCCTTATCGATCTGGTCTCGGTGAATGTGAGATTTGGGTGGGTTTCAAGTGGAGTTGGTCACAGTTGGGTTGTAAACAATGCAGCAATGACCGTATGAATAATGACCAATTTCCCAATAACTGCTTTGTAGGGCAGCCGAGAGAGTTGAATGTAGAACTGTTAGAGGGCCATCAGTGTGAGTTGCAAATAAGACTAAAAATAGCTTATCGATTTGGAAACGAATTTTTGCGCATAAGTTTGACTGGTTGATGGTTGAAATGGATTTGCACACTTTTCATGAACACAGGTATCCTACCCAAGTTTTTCGATTTGGATGGAGCACACCAAGGGGAGCCGGACGGTGTGCAATAATCCGAGCTTAGTAACGACTGCACGTAGAAACCACGACGAATGTCAGAGCTCCGGTTTTGTGTCTGCCGCTTGTCAAGTGTCGCACTGTGATGATGATGCTGATGAGCTTAGCAACTGGATTTGGTAGAAAAACCGAAATAAGCACTAGTGATGGTATACCAATTTACTAACAGTCACACGGGGTCTTAGTAAGCAAACTACATTTCACTTCATGTCTTCCGGCATGAATACCTTTCACGATGCTTGCAGCAATTGATGCAATTGATGATGAAGTGATTTTGATTGTGGGATCACGTAACCTAGCGGCTAGCACAAAATCAGCTGTTTCATAAAAAGGAACATGTGAATATTTCTGACTTCCTCTAACCTGTGCCATCCGATAATTTTGACTAGTTAACCTGTATAATCTTATTCTGCGAAGATAGCATGACAGAAGTTGCCAGAAGTTTCTCGAATGATAAACAGCGCAAAAACAATCCGGCCAGAAAAGAGTATTTTATAGACCACCCCAAGTTATCGCCACCCGACAAATAGGGTTTGCATTGTGGTCTTTGAGAGCATAATTTTCACTTTCATATGCTTCACATCATCTAAATTCTGTTCATGAGAGACAAGCGTGAAACATGCAAAAGCATTTACCCTTTGCCATTCACTTTCCTAGCCCCTTCCACTAGCCCTGTCCACTTGCGACTCAGCGGACTGTCTTCCAGTGCGGTGGAGATGAGTTGGGCTCCTCCACCAGTGCAATCCAGGAACGGGCATATAACTGGCTATCAGGTGCGTTATTTTGAAGTGGGCGCCGAGTCGCAGACTGAAACCATGGCCAAAGTGACAGTACCAGGACAGAGACAGTACATCGCTAAAGACTTAAAAGAGAAAACGTACTACACATTCATGGTGCGAGCATTCACCTCAGCTGGTCCGGGTCCGTGGTCAGGTGCCAGCAACATACGAACAAGTGTGGAACGTGAGTTGTTCGGTCTTCTCATAGTTCACATCGCGAAACTTCTGAAGAGCCAGCTGTGCAGAAAAGGAGATAGTTTTCTTGTTTAAAATGATCAGACACACTTCGAAGACAACCTCGAAATTTCTACCTAGCTCTTTATCTTTCGTCACTGTGTTGCCATTGGATCCACACCGACTAATACCTCCCAACCACCTGTTAACATTTTATCACCACATTTCACCTTGGCAACCATAACCCAGCCCTCACTTTCAACTATATTTTATTCTTCGGACCCGCCCTAGAGAACAAGCAAACTAATCGCATCATTCTAACCAGTGGTATCAGTTTACAAGGTCGCGCTTCATGTTTCCCTGAGTTTAAACCGGCGGTGAAACAACAAAGTATCTCGAATAATCTTTTGAACGTAAGTGAATCAGGACATAAATTTAAACCAGAAGTAACCGAGGAGCGAGTGATGGATAAATTCTCTGACAAATAAAGTCCTCTGCTTCCAGCGATCAGGCGTTTTTTTCTCATAACTCTTTTGGCTCAAAGCTAAGAAAGTGACCAAAAGATTGGTAGATCAACTTAAAGCGACGCCGTGCAGATCAGGTGCTTACCGCCTGATTTATTATTAAATCCATTTCACACACAAAATATCGGGCCTAGGTAACTTTGTACATCATAATTAGTTTATCTGGTGCCCATAGGGTGGTGAGTATAATTCCTGGTTAATTGTGGAAACACCTAACGAGCTAGAAAGCAAATGGTTTCAAACTGATTGGCAGATGTGAGAAGTCAGCACACTAGGTTACTCCTGCATCGGCCGCTGAGGTTGCCTGCAATCTACAAGGAAAAAACAACGGCGTGCTGTTGAAGACATCATATAAAAAAGGTTTTATTCTCGACAAGGCGAGGCACGCCTTTACAGCATGAGCATTTGACATAACAATGCGTGATCAAGAATGTGCAAAACTCCGATGTTTTTCATAACAGTGTATGTTGGGTAGGGGGATATGTAAGTATGTAATTGTTTGTGTGTGTGTGTGTGTGTGTGCAACTGTGTAGTTTTTGTATGCCCCATACTGAGGCTATCGTTACATTCATGATACTTTTCACCGCAGTTGGGCCGAATCAACTTACACTTAAACTAGGTCTTTTTAAGCTGAATAAATTTCATTCACTTTATGTGGTTTGTTTTGACCACCTGAATAATCTTCTGTTAACTGGTCATGTTGCTTATGCTAACTGTGCATAGGTTCGTTAACTTTATCGCGTTTGTTGCATTTTTGGGTAACTTCTAGACACTTTGTGCTTAGCAGGGATGCGTTGCTAATCAGCTTACTTCATATGCTAATGTAGCAAAGAGTTATATCTGCATAGCCATATGCCTTCACATATCTATTTTATTTGATTGTCATTCCAAGTGATTGGCTGATGTTTGACAACCCCGTTGTGGTTGCGTTTGATGTGTATGTTGCCAAGGTGCCTACTTGTCTATTACCCACTACCTCCTCTATACTGACTCTAGGAGACAGTTGGTCGTTACTAGAGGGAACGAGGTGCACGGTCCTTGTGGCCGTGCTAGGCTTGAAGAATGGTTCCATGTACTGAATGTAGAGCGGACCACGGTCCAGCCACTGCCTAGTATGCGATTGATTCCCAAATACACTGTGCTTGTGTTTGCCTGTGAAGGAGTGTGGACCGGCTCCGTTGATGAAACTTGGCTACCATCCACATGCCTCCCGATCTTATACTTTCGGGTTAACACTGGATATGGGGTGTGTGGTTGGAACTGTGGGTGATACAACGCAAGCCACCCATGGTCCTTCTATGGGCACAGGCGTCCTGTGACTGGCCACAGAGAAGGCAAATTCGAAACCGGATGCTGCCAACCAGTTTGTGCTTGTAATTGTGCTGCTCCATTCTTGAATGTCAGATATCGTCGGCAATGTGCAAGTAGAAGACTTATATCCGTCAGTTGGAAAGGATTATCCGGATATCCACGGAGCAGTGACTTTAATTTGTGACGGATCACGACCGCCACCTCACAGTGGTTTTAAGCAGACATTTGTGGCTTCTTATAAGGAGAACGCTTGCCAGGTGAATACCCTCCACTTTCCGGAACACTGTCGCCGAACTAGTTGCTGGAACGGTGTAAACCCGAACAACCCAACTGGCATCCCGCGGAGGTTGTTCGGCTAGCCAGTCATATGTACTAATCTATAGCCACACTAGTCGGTGTGAAAAATTATGTTGTTCCAGCAATCACCTAATTATCGCGTGTGCATTATCTGTCATAGAGATGACATAATCATACCATTGCTACACAAAACTATGAGAAGTCACGGATAATACCTTCCACTTCCCTAAAATACAGGAATAGGGTGAAACGAAAATATCTAAATCGTGGTTCTGGTTCGAAAAGCCATGCAACAGTACTACGTTTAAAAAGAACCATTGCGAAAACGTGGCTACTCTCTGATATAGTGAAAAGGGCTGCGAGAGACTTTCACTGCAATGGAGCAACAAATAAATGGCGTTCTGTTCCTTTACTATAGATAGCTCATCTCTTCAATAGTTCAATAGTGTATGATGGGATAAAAAGCATAACTTTACAAGACCCACAGGATGGATATGCAAAAGAAAATTGAAATCAAAATGTTCCAACGTAGAACGTAAGTATCAGTGGTTAAACCATTGCACTATCAAACTGTTGTGTAGCGTTTATCACTAAGATGAAATTTGAAAAGCACGGTAAGAAGACGAAAACTGGTAGATGCATGCATTTCGTATTGTCTCCTCAATACCATTAACAATAACCGGTATATAACTAAATGTTTAAATATGCGTGTGCTTGAATAAGCATGAGGTGTAAGATGAATGACGGAATGACGGTTGTAACTGTAACTTGCCGGTGCCTCCAACGAAGGAAGCTCAACCGATAGGGGCCAACTCACACTGCATTTACAAATTCGTGTGCGACTGCGGAGACAGTTACATAGGCAGAACCAATCGGTCTTTGACTTCCCGAATAAAGGAACACGTGCCAAGGTGGGTTCAACGTGAAATTGACCAGCATCCCTGTCCCACTGAAGTTCCGTGTTTGCGCAAGCCGCCAGCTTCCTCAATAGGTAAACACCTACGCGTCACCAGATAGAGCTCGGATCAGCGTTCACACTTGTATTACGTCACCCTAATCCCGCTTTCTCCGTTTCGCCGAGGCTGTTGCGATAAGCTGGATGAAGCCGGCCTTGTGTGTTCAAAAGCAATTATTTATCAGCTTAAGACTGCCGTGGACATAGGGGTTGAACTTCCGTCATTCATTTTACACCTCATGCTTATTTGGTCACACGCATATTTAAGTATATAGTTGCATACCGGTTATTGTTAATGGTACTGAGGAGACAATACGAAGTGCATGCATCTACCAGTTTTCGTCTTCTTACAGCACTAAGATGAAAGTCTAATAGTCTTTCGAATGTTGTCATGTCTGGTGCGTTCACCACATGTCTTAGTAATGCATTCCAGTGAGAACAGATTGTAAGTGAGCAAAAAATACTTTCTACCATTCAGACGTGAGTGTTGCGTCATTAGTTTCAGGTGGTTGTCTCGGCTTTGTATGTAAGGGGCTAGAGTCAACAGTGATGTACATGAATGCTCGCTTTCAGTTAGTATCCGGTATGTGAGAGTAAGATCTCCGCAAAGCCGTCGGTATTCTGATGAGAACACACCGAATACATGAAGACGCATTTCATAACTTAGACCGGATAGTCCACGCATTGCCTTTGTGGCTCTTCTTTGAGGTTGTTCCAATAGACGATTGTCTCGTTTTAACCATGAACACCAGGCCTGAATTGCATATTCAGCGTGAGGGCGAATATAGGAGTTAATCAGCAATGGTACTGACCGTCGCTCAAAGGTGCCTAGAGCTCGCCTCCAAAGTCTCAAGTTCAAGTTCGCCACACTTGCTGCTTTCAAACATTGGAGCGAATTGCCAAGACTCTCTTTAACGATTATACCTAAGTCGCGTTCACTAGTCACGTGTTGCCCTAAAAACTACGTGTTGAGGAAGCTGCTGCGCACCGTCAGCATGTGGCACCTTGCAGGGTTCAATGGGAGCTGATTCCTTTATGTCCATCCGTTAATCCGAGTCAGCTCTTTCTTGAGGTAGACACGGTCGGATGTTGAGCGAATTGCTCCCCATATTTTAGCATCGTCTGCAAATATTTGTATCAGAGATAGAATGTCTGCTGGAAGCTCATTAATGTAGACTAAAAACAGTAGCGTCCCGAGGATGGATCCTTGAGGTACACCACTGGAGATGCACAGCGCTTCAGAGTGAGTGTCCACTACTCTTACATTGATTGCTCTGTCGTGTAAGTAGTCTTCCAATCAGGTGAACAGAGATCCCTTGATTCCGTAGGCAGCAAGCATTTGGAGTAGAAAGAAGTGATTGACCCTGTTGAATGCTTTAGAAAAATCCAAGTAAATCCCATCTATGGGGACTCCTTCATCAGCCGCCCTGGTCTATGAGTCCCGAGTAAGCAGCATATTGGTGAGGCAAGATCGTCTGCGTCTGAAACCATGTTGGGCATTAGAAATTATATTCCGACGTTCAAAGTATCGCGTCGGTTCATCTGCAATTACCGATTCCATTACTTTTGATAAAACAGGAAGGAGTGTAATAGGTCGGTAGTTAGAAAGATCCGATTGCTTACTTCCTTTGTATATTGGAGTGATAAGTCCATTTTTCCACTCAGATGGGAGTGTATGGGAGTTAAGCAGACCCTGGAGAAAGGTTGCAAGTCGTGCTGGTATGGTGGGAGAAAGGGTTTTCAGTACCTTTGGGCAGATCATGTCGATTCCAGGGGCACTGTACTCCCGGAGAGACTGTAATTTGCTTGTAATAGCTACTGGAGTGAAGGTGACGCTAGATAAGCCAACGACATTTGTTTGGAGTTGATAGGGCGAAGGTTCTATGGTATTTGTAGCTCACGAGCCAAACTTCAGGAGTAGAGCGTTCGCGGCATCCACAGCAGTAGTTGTTAGGCCACTAGCCGTCTTGAGTGGTGGTATTCCGGGCTTAACCTTTCTTTTGCCATTCACCAATCTGTATAGTAGTTTGGTATTACTCGTACATTTCAGCAGCATTGTCTCCTGCCATTCGTACTTAACGACTCTAATGAGCGACATGCAGTAGTTTCTGATGACTTGGTAATTTTGCCATGTGATATCACATGGGCTTAGTGAATCTTTCCTCCAGATTACATCTCTTCTGTTGATCCATTTATGTGTTCTGCTTCGAATCCACGTATTGGTCCGGCGCGAAGCTCGGAATTGCACAACCTTCGATGCTGATTGTATGACCCAGTTAAGTTTGTCTTGCAGTTCATTCCACTCGCCATTCGCTGAGCTGTACGTCTGTAGGTCCCAGTCAATAGTTGCTGCTGTTGTGCAGCTTAAAATAGTCCGTAATAGTTCGTTGAGTCGCTCTTTCTTTAGCAACAATACTGGCATAACACACATAACCAAACGTTAGGACTGAGTGGTCGTTACGGCCCATTAGAGAGTCATATGCTACTGACTCAACCATCAACCCTTCATTAGTCTGGATTAAGTCCAGGAGTGATGGCTTGTATGAACCGCGATGTCTGGTTGGTCTATGCGCATGGTTATACAAAACTGCCATATCCATGAATTCGAGGAGTTTAGATTTAATTGCTGGTCCATTTGGGGGACATTGATGCTATTGAAGGAACATTAAATTTACCCATTATAAGATAGTGAGAGTACTTTTCTGAAACAGCATAGCGGAGAGCATTTAACAGAATGTTATTGCTGTCTGCTGACGAGCTCGGAGGCTTATAGATAAATGCTAAGAGGTAAGCTTCACTCGTCTTCTGTGAACCAACATCTCGACCTGCTAGGTGCAGTTGGCAAAATAGTGCGTCGGGAATAACAAAGGAATTTTCGATAAGATCCTCACATTTCAAATAATCTCGATAGTAGAGAGCAACACAGCCACCGAGAGATGGACGATCATTTCTATTGACTGACATCTCACTGAGTTCAATCTCTGTATCAAGTATGTCGTTTAAGAGCCAAGTTTCAGTAACTGCTATGAGGTCCCAAGTTGTTTCATGTCGATGGCGCAGTTCCGAGAGATAAGCATACAACCCCTGAGGGTTGGTGAAGCAGCATTTTATTTGTTGACGCATCAGGAGCTCCGTTCGCTGTGAGTGACCGGCACAAATAGTGCCGGTCGTCTGAAGTTTTTTGAAATGGTTGTTTGCACGGTTGGTTGATTTTATTTAGGTACAAAGGACGCTGGGTCATCTGTATCTGAGGTCTGTACTAATTGAAGGAATAGTCTTAACTGTACTTCTGGTGCCCCAAGTTTCCTGTTGTCATGTCATGCTTGGATTGCCACTGATACCATTTGGAACGCAGCCAAGATAACTTTCGAAATTTGTGGCCCGCTAACTTGGTAGTTTGTGGAAGCAGTTAGGTGGGTGACGTCAAAAGCCACAACATTTTGCAAGTCCTGGAGCTCTGTGATGTACCTCCATTCTTCGATCTCGTGCTTTTGTCGTTCACTGCCATCGTCATGCCTCAATTCTGGCACTCCATGAACCAGTACCACTTATTCATCTCATTTCGACGTGACGAACTAGGGTTGGATTTCCACTTCTGCCTTTTTGCCCATGGACTGTCAGGAAATATGCGAGCACTGACAGAAGAGTTCACTCGACTGTGGGTTGCTAAGAGAACATCTTCCAGGTTGCCCGTGTTGCCCAACGTTACTCGCTGTAACCGAGGTTCCCCTACGTGTGGAGATGATGGATTTCGTGAAAGGCATGTAAGACTAGTCGGGAGAATTTGCAGTTCGAGTGCGCAGGTTATTTCAGCCCATCGGTTTTGCTCCTCGGCTTGTCTACCTTTTAGCGATTCGCTAGTGGGTTCTGGGAGTTTTGAACATATCACTGTCATCGCCTTTTGGTTGCGTAGTAATTGTTTGTTCTTCAGTTCCTTGTGAGCGTAGGTTTGTCGAGTGGGCTTGTCTTCCTTGGACCATAGGCCAGTGCTATAGCAAGAATTTTTTAAGTGCAACGCCGTTAGTTGCACTATCTGTAGGGGTCAATTGTTGTTGCCCAGCTAAGGACGGAGGTGATCGTGCATTTTGTGCGTAACTCTTCATGCTTTGGAACATCATGTGAGACTTGGGAGACCGTTCAACCGGCCTGTTTTCACTGCTGTTCTTCACTAACGGTGTTTGCCTTTCGCTGGACTGGGTAGCATTGTTGCTACAGAGCTTTTGCCTTTTAACAGGTCGGGGATTCGGGCTCCGTAATGCACTAACCTGCAACTCGAGTTCTGAGATTTTCCCTCCCAATACCGCGATCAGTTCCTTTTGGTCTGCCGACGTAACAGCCAACGCTCCACACCTAATCGTAAGCGTTTGAACAATCTTAATTATCGGACTATCTGAACATAAGTCACAGAACCACAACCATTCTGTCGATACGCTGTTAGCTCCGTTAAGTGTAATATTCACATTTGTTGCTTCGTAGGAATTGGCACAGAACGAACGAGTGATTTTCGAGAGGATCTCAGTTCCCTGCTTGTATGAGCTACGGTTGCTCTGGGGTTTGTTGTTCACTTGATTCCCGATTCACAAACTTCTCCGGCCCATGGATCAATGGTCGGTATACTCTTCTAGGTTGCGCTGGTTACGCCGTTTGGGCTGCCTCAGTTGTCTGCTCCAGTCAGCGGGTTTGGTGGTGGTGCGTCACTAGGCGAACGAGTAGCCAAAATCACGCAGGCTTTGTGCGGTGAAATGCACGTAAAAATATCGTTGTAATGTGAAATGACAAAAATGCCTGTACCTATGATATACAGTGGTGCACACTACTGTTATATATTGTCTGACAGTCTTAAAGAAGCTTGTCGAATGGTATCCCAAAGGTACTGATGAAACTCAAATAAGCAAGGTTACTCAAGTTGGCCTTAGTGAGTAGACTTCCGAACATTTTGTTTGCGGTGTACCAGCGTGTCGTTGGACTTAATTCAAAAATATAGACCCCGTTGGATAGCGCTCGGTGATCGGAATCGATTGAGCGTACTTCCAAAGAGGTGGCCCATGAATGTGAGGGGATAAGTCCAATGTAACACAGCGCACAGGATTGCACGATTAGCACGTGCACGCTGACAAGGTAATTCGTACGCAAAAACGATCAGACAAGTGATGAGCATGAAGCCAGTTTTATTGAATCCATGTGGTAGTTCAACAGTGTATAATGCATAAAGCTATGACTGTCCGCCCAAACATTTCGCACGTATGATTTAAAAATGAACTGCATAACATTTGGTCCAGTTCCAGGAACCGTGTCTTCTGAGTGCCCTTTTTCTCATGCTGCGACTGAGTTGTAGTTACAGCCCATGTAACGTCTCGCTCGTTACACTTTTAGTCCCTCCACCACCATCGGACATAAAGGCCACCCGTATTAACCAGCATCAAATTAAAGTGACCTGGAGCATTCCGACCGTGGAGGAATCGGGTGGCACTTCCCCATATGTATCGATCCAGGGATTTCGCCTACTCTACTCTTCCAATGATAACCCTTACGAGGCTGGTCAGTGGACTTCATTCGACGTCGGCCCGGTAAATATGGCTATTATCAGTCACCTTGAGAGCAAGGCCACTTATGTGGTATGCATTAAATCTCGTGGACAGGATGGTCGCTACGGCGATTGTAGTCAGCCCATTATCAGTCGGAATGTTGTGATGGGAGAGGAACCCGAATTCTCCGTACGCAATTTGCTATGCACCGGTGAAGAAACAAGTGTGAAAGTAACATGGCAACAGCCAGTTCGAACGAAGCAACTGGAAGGTTTTAAGGTTAGTAATATTTATTCGACAGCCAAATCAGTAAATTAGTAGAAACATTATTTTTCACATATGAAACGCAAGTACACGGTTAGGAACTTCCTCTTAGCCAAGTAAATTTACTTAATAAAACGCGCATCAGAGATTCAAGAGAGTATTTTCTTTTATGTTGTGTAAGCTACGAATGTACCAGATGAAACAGGACATAAACTTAATCTCGTACATGGTACAGTCAAATATATGCGATTGTTTTTACCAGTTCCACAGTGCGAACTAACGACTTTACGCGTATTCATTAACACCAAATTGGAATGTGATGAATGAGTCTCATTGAATACGCACACAGTAACCTATTTTGCCCTCCAAAATTCTTCCAACCATGACGACTCTAATTCAATTACATTTCCTCTAGTCGTGATGACAGTCATCAGCTCCGCCTCCGGTAGTGGCGGTGATTCGGATTCAGGCGTAAGAGCTATCTCCAGCCTAATACTTGCTTAATAGGCACACATCCCTACTGCGTGTCTCAAATTCGTTAGCCCTGTAGCCATTTGTTCAATGATCATCCAACAGCGCTGAAATATTCCAGGCATCGGAAAACTCAGTACACTATCGGGTTCCAGTGACTGAAGCTTGTGTGCCCGCATGTTTATTTTGACTAAAATGGGCGCACCCAAATAACTTGCTACTATTAAGCGATGTAATTGTGATTAGGTCCATACACCGTGTTATCGAGCAGCTCGACTGACAGTTCATTATAGCCTTGCTCAAGGTATCGTTTCCGGCCGCATTCCCTTTACCGGAATGCCCTGATGACTATTGATTTTATTTTTCCTGAATACCAGCGTTTCCTACCACTAACCGGTTCAATCTGGCCGGAGCGTGCGAAGGAGGCTAGCATTATTTTCGAGATAAGAGCCAGACACACATTCAACCAATAGCGGTCCTTTCGCTTGAAAAATGGCGTGCGAGACAGCACGGGTACTGAAACAGTTGCGACTGGAGTTGAAGTTTGGTGTCCGGGAATAACAAATTCAGTGGGAATTGTGAACGTTCACCATGCCACTGGGTGGATACGCGTATGGACGTGTGTATCTGCGCAAATGTTACCCAGTTGACTTGCTGAGCGGATATCCCGAAATGAGACGGCAAAATCTAAACCAGGCTCTTATCGCAACCCACACTCATGTCAAATAACTTCATTTGAAATGCGCAGCTGCTGATAACTATCGGCTGTATAGAATTGTCGAACCATAGCCCTGTATCCTACTGATCTGAACCGGCGTGGAAGACTGCTGGTTGGGATCGTATGTCAATGCAGCATTACAAGATCCGGCTGCACTTATCCGGCAAGCGTTTCCAGAGGGGTTATCCGGTTATTTCAAGATAACTCTTATATAACATTTGGCACAATTTGTATCTTTAATATCTTTTAAAGTCTGCTCAAGGTAGCAGATGTGAGCAAGGGTCCGAGTTTTCGATTAGACGTCATGCGGATTAGCTTCAGAAAACAATGGAAACGCTTACCTGGAAAAATGATAGCAAGCGCTAAATCGACCACGTAGCTATTGCCTTTTACTAGATCGACACTAAGTTATATACCTTTGGTGGAGATTTACGAGGAATGACGCCGGGCCGAATGCCAGGTTGCTCGTGCTTACTGCTCAGTAGGAGTAGTAACGTTACGCGACATCCCAACATGGACTTCGCATGAAGGTTTCGTCCTGCTTTGGACTTAACAGATAGAGATAGCCTGAGCTGGGGTGGAACTCGGGGCCTAGTGGTTAAAAGTTGACGCCTTGATCATTATGTCACTAAGATCCGTGTCGCAATCAACTAACGGCAGATACTCCAAATCCAACTTTGCATTCGTTACCGCTGCGCCAAGCCTTGCTCACGGATCTTAGTGGTATAGTGATCAAGGCATCAGTCGTAAACCACTAGCCACCGAGTACCACCGCAGCTCAGGTTATCTCACTCTGACGAGTCCAGTCCAGGACGGAAGCTGTCATGGGATGTCAGTGTTGAGAAGAGCAACACTGAAACACCTCCATTTCGGATACGGTCCTTGTGACCAGAATAACCCAGGTCTACTTCAAGCTGAACCGAGGTCTCAATAGAGATTGCGCGTCACAATCCAAACACACGACGGGTACTCCAAATCCAACTTTGAGTTAGGCGACTTCTCTTAACTGGTAGCCGCATCGGAGAGAGCTATAGTTGAGGTGGTGGCTGACCCATGCTCTGACTTTCTTAGTCTAACCGCATATTCAATTGCTCGGCTGCTTAATTTTGGCGCATTTCCATTGGCCATCACTCGGGTCCTCAGTTGCTGGAGTGTTAAGGATTGCACGTTGACAGGTACGTGTGTGCTCCGGTACATGCCAGTTTCGTGCGCTTTATTGTCAATTAGTGTGAAAATGGAGGAGCAGAAGATAGACACTTATACACGGTAACATGGGATACAAACTGGCGGTCATATATTTTGCGAATCTCAGCTATGCTAGCCGTTTCGGCTTCTATGACTATTTTGCTTGAATTCAGTACATGTTTTTTAGTCCAGCTATGGAAAGGACTTCGCGTTGTTTACCCTGATGCGTATGTTCAACTGACTCTCCACTTACGCCGGTTAAGCAGTCAACAACAAGTTTCAGCGCACAGGTGATTCATCGCTTTTGTTCCCTACCCGGTAAACAATCGAAGGACGAAATTAGGCTAGAATGAGGCGACAACTTTGTTACCGTTAGGACTCATTTAGTTCGCTTTGAGACATTAGGCTGCGAGAAATGAATATGGTCAGCTTTACTCAGTTTGCATCTTTTCCCTGTTCCGTTTTCTATATCGTCATCAAAAGTGGGCTTACGATTCAGGAATTGCATGGAAATTGGCAGTTTTTGAATCAAAGTGGAAGGCACATACAGTATTTTTGAAATATTAAAAGAATGCGTCGTTAAAAGAAAGGCATGCATGTAATGCGTTGCGACTATAGATATAGATCGAAGTGCTAAAATATACCGACTTACATCCTTTATCTAACTTGACGATAAACTAAAACCCGCCTGAATTTCGGCTATTTCCATGTTCTCTGTAGCTTCGGGTTGGTGGTTCCAAACGGTTCGCGGACAGTTCTGGAGTAATTCGAACCCTCGAATTCCCCGCACGCAGTGTCAGCGTACCGTATGCAGCCATTCATTCGGGTTACACATACACGGTGAGCGATCTCGAGCCGAACAGCGTTTACGATGTCCAACTAAGCACTTACTACGAATTGACTCTGAGCATGGAAAGCAACTGGGAAACGACTAGCTGTTATACACAAATGCAACGTAAGTAAAAGGTTATGTTTCTGATCGCAATTGTCTTTTGGTTGCAATTTTGTCTTTGCCCCTTGTGGTGCTCGATGCGTTGCCCTTAATGAAGCAGCAGATATCATGAACAAACGCACCGAACTCAGCAATAGAAGAACAAGATGTGACAGCGAGGGCAAGTAAATATTTGCACGTGTTGAGAAGAGTTTCCAGAGTATGGTATGGGTTTCCGTACCTTTTATAGAATGCTGATTTGAAAACAGAGTAGAAGTTTCTAGCCCCACTCCATATGATTTAGGATATCTATGACTGCTCATAAAAACTGCGATTAAATGATTTCAGTTATACTGCACCATTGTGCCGTAACTTCTGCCAAGACGTACATGAAGCACGCACATTCTGATAATTTGGTCTACCGGGACCGAGCTATCGATATTGTGGAATCAGTTGACTCAATCTAAGTTGATTTCTATAGAAGGTAATGCATCAACTGCATCAGAGCATTCTCCATCGCAATCTTCAACGCTTTGAGACTTGTGATGCTTGCATAAAATTTATCTATACCCTTTCCAACTTCACCTAAATGCGAGTGTTAGCCGTGTCTTGTTTGACCCAATGGTGGTGTACTGCAGCTGCCCACAAGTCGCGATACTGGGGCCATGGGTTTTTCCATAGTACTTAAACGACTTCGAGAGGTTGGCTTCTCCTATTGCCTTTCCCACTCGAAGTTTCATAAGCAACTGTGGTCGAAACAGATAAGACGACCATAAAGCGCAGCAGCGTAATCTAGACATAGCTTACGAGTGTTCAGCTGAGAACGAGCACCAGTATAAAGCTGCCGGATGTAAAATTTTGTGAATACGAAACTAGGTAACCTATGAGTATTGGCTAGTGAAGCAGATTGCTTGGTGCGCCTCCCATGAAAACAATCCAGGTGTGTACTACAGGACAAGCTCTGCTGCTAAAGACAAGCAAATTTTAATGAGATAGACTAGTTAGCAGATTCTGTCCTGTGGTACTTTTGCAAACCTTCAACACATATGAGACCCCATCCAGATCTCGCAGCCTTGACAAATGCATGATATGGTTACTTTTGAAACTGCGTAGCGAAGAGTAGTAGGTTTCCAAGAACACGAAATAAGTATGTTGTCAAACATATAAAAACAATCACAACAACTCAGTCAGAGACCGTCAGTTGATCATAAAGTATAGTCAATTGGAAACTCGTCCAGTTGTCTGTCCTCCATTTCTGCTGCCTTTGCTTCTATACTCACAAAAACCGAGGCACTATTCGACGAAGCACGCTGTCACCTAAGCTATATGATTTAACCCGTTGAGGGGACACACAATAACGGTATAAAACTGTACATTCATGTGCAACTCAATGGGACTCCAAAGATACACGTTACCTTTTCGACATACTATTTGCCTGTAGTACTTTAACCGTGGCAGCTTGTTATTTACTTAACATTTACCCGTAATACAGCTTGTTGAGTGGCGCCAGGTATACTAGTCGGCAGCAGTGACACAAAGAGGTGAAAAATGCAGGACGGTAGAAATGATTGAGGTGGCTGTACTCAACGCATATTGTACAGCTTACACTTAATTGGAAGCGAATAAGCAAAAGGGAGGAACGTTAGTATGGGAGTCACCAAAGCAAAAAGTGAAGGCGGATCTAAAAGAAATGGACATTGGAACGGTTCAAACGAAAAGATTCTATTTTTGTAAATTACTGAGATAGTACGTTTCCAGGTTCACTAAAAGGGCTTCCTAACTGGCTGAGGTATGGAAATCTTCGATGGGGCTGTCAGAATGGAGGGGGTAAGTGAGGATCGGTGCGAAGAGTAACAGATAGGCCTGAACATGGGCTTCCAGAATGGGGTCCGTGACAGAGTTCGCTGGATCCAGGCTTCTTAGTTAATATTTGCGTGTAGACAAGGGTGCATCACCGGTGGGCCGCCGGCGCGGGCTAGCTGAACTCCACAAGAACTGGTTGCTTTATGTAAAGGGCCGACAGGACAGTTCCTCCGCTGCAGACCGGAAGTGGGCTTGGGAGGTATCACTCCCACCACCACACTCCAGTCTACAGCCCAAACGGTCCTCCTCCCTCAAAGAAATCCGGGTGTCCTAGTCGGGCTCACGTGGCCAAGTGGCAGGGGACCAATCCGGTTGTAGCCTTCGGCGGTTAAGAGCGACTGCTTAATGCTTGTTTCAGGGAGGGGCTTGATCGGGTTGACAATTAACTCGACGTTTGCCTCGGCTATTCCGGTGGTTGTGATTCTGGAGTGTAGAACTCAGAGGGGGTAGGCGAAAGTCGGAGGATGTGGCTTGAAACCGGAGGGGAATATGGTATGCAGAATAAAAGCAAATATGCTTTTTGGGTTTTTCAAAATGTTTTGCGGGTTGTTAATCGCATTTGCAGTACGCTTGTGAGTGAAACACACTAGTAATATCAAAGACGAAAAACATACATGTCAATGGAAATAACAAACGTCAACAAAAGCTGAAAAACGGACCGGACGTTTAAGCTATCCACCCCGTCGGTCGCTTGCTTGTGTTTGAGGCGGGGCGGGTGGAGGGTCAACGGGTACTTAGGTTTGCGGGATATTTAGTCCTCGGGAAGTCACCGCACGTGCAGGTGTTTGTGCGATAGTGTCAGCATGAGTTGCAAGTGGTTCGTCACAGAGGGCCATTTTGAGGCGGTCGATGGACACCGCCGTTAGGGTACCCTTCCGATCTCAAGTCTAGTGGATCGGAATCCGTCTGAAACAGTCAATGTATGAAGGCTGGAGAGGGCACCTCACTGTGTCATTGCGGAGGAAGACGTGTGTGCAGATAGAGAGTCCGCTGTGCATTTGCGCATCCCTGATCTACCCTCGAGGAGCAGTAGGAAGTAATGAAGGTATGCGTACTGCTTGGGGGAAGCAATGTTAGACGAAGGCATACCCGACGATGCTGGAGGTGAAACGAATTCTCCTGGCAAATGTAGTGTTGTGCCGCAAGCCAACTCTGCTGATCGCATTGCACGTCAGCTTTGATGCTGCTGAGAATACCTAGGACTACAAGTAAGTCGTTTTCGTTCCAGCTAGGGCTTGAGGTGGTGTAAAGCGAGGATTCCTATTATCCATGGAAGCGTTCAGTCAGTCCGTTAGCTGCTGGATGATACACTGTCGCATGAATACGGGGACAGCCTAAAAACTTTACAAAACATATCGTGTGGGGAAGATTCGAAAGGCCTTCAACAATCTTTTGTGATGGTGGATGGATATCCGTAATGTTAGATCCAACGGTACAAGTAGGTCCGGATGACAGTCTCGGCTGTGCAATCTGTTATGGGAATGACTCCTGGCCATCTGATAAATCAGTCGACATGTGTACGAATGTATTCCAATCCGCGTGAAGGGGATATGGAACCTACCAGGTCTAGGTGTACATGCAATAGCAGTAAGTATGGGGCGGAGAATGAGCCCAGAGAACTGCGGGTGTGTCGATCTACTTTGGCAGGGAAGACAGGTGCTAGCCCAGGTACGAAGATGTTTGTTTACGCGCGGCTAAACGAAACTTTCGCTGACCAGTTACAAAGATGCACGGATACCGAGACGTGATAGTGCGTCTGAAGGAGAAGAGCATGTGGGGTCTAGGACAACCTATGGAAGTGTCATAGAAAATAGTTCCTTCCGTGCTTTGGAGAGGAACGTGTTGCACATGCAATGCATTAGACTGCAAGGTGCGTTGATTGTCTTCATCCTGAGCTTGAGCGGATGCCATGGCCCCAAGGTTGATTGTAGGCAAGAACTGAAGAGTACGGTTGACGCGTGAGAGCGTCGGAGACCGGTGGTTGACACCTGTGACATGATTTCTATTGGTACTGAACTGTGTGATAAATTCTAGTTGTCCATTTTCCCTTGGTGAGTGTTTGTCAGTGGCTGATTTAATGAGGAGCATGTGGTCACTGTAAACCGGGGAAGCACGAGTTTCGATTGTGTGCCGGAACTGGCTAATGGCTAACTAGATAGCGAGCAGTTACCTGCCAAACGTGCCTTAGCTGCATTCCGCTGTCTGCAACCGTTTGGAGTAAAAACCGAGAGGTTGTCATTGCCCACCGACGTGTTGTTGGCGGACAGCTCACCTCGCGACGCATGAGCCATCAGTCGTTAGAGAAGTGCAGTCGGCTCGGAATGAGCGAGAAGAACTATTTTGGAGCTAACATCCTTGAGATTTATAAACGTTGTCTGTGCTGTATCAGAGTAGGCGAACTTGCGTTCATTTCCGCTGAGTAGATCAGTCAAGGGCTGCATGAGCTGTGCGCAGCGATGAACGAAGCGTCGATAGTAGTTAATCAAACCACAAAATCGACGGAGCTGCTTAAATGAAGCCGGAGCTGGAAAGTCATTAATTGCTCGGACGATGAGACAAAGTGACCTAGAAATTCTACCATTGACTTGAGTTCGCATTTAGTCGAGTTAACTGTGACACATGTTGGGTCAGCCGCTGAAAGGAAGCCCGAAGCTGGTCAAGAAGCAATTATTCCGTCGAACTGGCTACTAGAACGTCATCGAGGTAGGAATGTGTGAAGTCTAGACCACGAGTGACGTCGTGGATGAAGCGTCGGTAAGTTTATGTGGCGTTGCACAGTCCAAAAAGCATTCTTAAAAATTCGAAAAACCCGAACGGAGTGATGACGGCTGTTCTAGGATTGTCTTTTTCGTCCACGTGTATCTGGAGATAGGCTCGAACCAGATCAATCTTGCTGAAGATCATCGTACTTGTGAGACATGCGGTGAGGTCCTGCATATTTGGGAACGGGTACCTCTTTGGGACGATTAGCCAGTTGTGTGCTTGCTAGTCCCCGCAAGGGCGCCACTCATCAGATTTCTTAAGTACCATATGTAGTGGGGAAGACCAAGGGCTGTCGGAAGGGTGGCTTATCCCGAGTTCGTGGATGTGTTCAAACTCCGCGGCAGTTACCTTAAGTTTCTCGGGTGAACGTCGGCGTGGACAAGGGAGACTGGTGAGCT